TCCTGCTGTCTCAGTGCATCTGTGTAGGAAAGGTGGATGAGTCCCCCTGTCTCTGGAGGCAGAGTCCAGGGAGCCAGTTCTTTTCCTTCTGGAGGGAGGGTCATCTTTACAAATGTCTCATGCACATAGTCTTGATACCATCCCAAAAGTGTGCTAGCTAACGCAGTGCATCGGGCAGTCCAGGTTCCCAGCACATCCCAGCCCAGGCTGCACTGGCTGGCATGCAAAGACTGGGCTGTCTGAGGAGCAGGCTTCAAGCTTGGGGGTGTGGAGGGCACTTATCCAGACAGTTGTGTCCATTTTTCAAATGAAACCAACCTCTTTCTTCCAGCACCTTGGACATTTTCCCCACCGTAGTGTCCCTGGCAAATGCAGCCCTCCCTCCCCACAGACGCTTCGATGGCCTGGATGTGTCTGACGTCCTCTTTGGGCAATCGCACAATGGACACAAAGTAGGTAGCAGCCCCCTTTCCCCATTTAGCTGCATCCTGATACCATCGCAGAGGTAGCTGCTTGCATCTTCCCTTCTTCTAGTTTCACCCTGGGAGCATTCATTGCTACAGACAGGTTGCTGGTGCTTAAACTGGGGCATCATTTAAACCAGTGGTTCTCAACCTTTTTTGTACCAGGACCCATTAGTAAACATCAATGGCCAGACCTGACTCATTGCCCCTCACTCCCAACCCACTGCCCCTGACCTCCAGTGTGTGGGGCGAGGGGTGGGGTGCGTGGGGCAGGGGGTGTGTGGGGCATGGGTGGCCCCAAGCAGCCCTTTGCAGGCTGCAACTCTGCCAGCCTCCAAGGGAAAAGCCATGGTTTCCAGTATTTTTCTCCTTTAAAGGATAATCCATTGTTTAAGTTTATTGATCCATCTTTAAAGTTTGTTTAAGACCCTTTCATATATGCTTGCGACCCTCTTTTGGGTTGTGACCCATGGATTGTGAAATGCTGATTGAGACCTTACATAGACTTAGCAGGTTACAATCCCAGCATCTGTGCTCAACCATTGCCTGGTTACTAGTGGGAAATGATAGCGTGTGTGTGGCTGGCAAGGGGTTTGCATCACTGCTTGGCTTAAAGGATCCGCTTTCACCATCCAGCTCTGAGCTTCGCCAGGATCCAGCTTTGGTTTTAAGTCAGTTGGATCTGACGCAGAGGCTTTGAATTCTGGTGCAGTTGTCTTGACCATTGGACCATGCTTCATAGTCAGCGAGGGGACTGTTGCAAATGATCTGTACCACAATTGGGATCTCCGTGACCTCCTCTGCTATTTCCTCACTTGACCATTGTATCACAGATGGAGTGCGTAGGTGGGGCAGGGCAAGAAGCTGTTTTGCACACTCAGGGCCCGGGTGCCAAGCCACCTGGCGAACACATGCATGCACCCCATAAATCTGGGATCGCAGGACAAATTCCACCTTGCTCTGAGGGGTGGTGGGCCTGTCCTTGGCTCTGTGCATGGCTGGAGTCGATCGGCGCTGCCCGAGAGAATCTGAGGATCAGGACTCGGCACAGTTCACTCTTGGGCTTTGCATGGCAATTCACCTGTCAGATCTGTCTCCCTGCACCTTCCGCAGCAGAGGCCTAGTGATGAGCCCCCTGCCTCAGTGGTTGCAATTTTCCCCATGCTCATCACCCACTGGGTGCTCGTCTCAGTGTTAAAAGATTCCCATGCACTTGGAGTGGGCTGCGCAAGCCTTGCTTGTCTGAACACACAGGGATATGATTCACCCCGCTTTCTGGCTGAGCTGGGCCTCAAACATGTTCGTGATCAACATGTCAAGGCCCCTGGCTGCAGTTTGCGGTCTGCCTGAACGGCTAGCAGCTCCTCGTGTAGTTTGTAAGACAGTCATTGCAGGAACGCATTTTTTTAGCATTGCTCAGGAGTTTGGCGCACAGCTCTTATAGCCATTCATGGGAATCCCACCGACAAGGTTTAAAAGTCCACCCTCCTGCACTCATCTCAACCCGGCCCGTGGGGATTTCTCATTTGCTTTCGGAGCCTGTTGGAGCTTTGTTGGTATTGAATTCTGTTTATGGAGCCCTTTTATGAGCCCGTAGGTAAACAGTGGGAGTGGAGAGGACAGGCGAAAGCTCATGTGGCTTCATGCTTTCTGATTAACCCTGTTATGGGAGCATAGGACTGGAACAGGCTATTTGGATCACTGAGTCAAGTCCCCTGCAGTCACAAGCAGCCATGTAATAGGCACTAAGTGCAGAAGAGTCCGCAAAAACGTGTTTTCCATCCCTCTCTCCCCATACACCCCCCCCCAAAAACCCTATAACAAACCTCAGATCTCTGGGGCAATAGATTGAAAGCCTCAAAGGCTGCAGCATGCCACAGGAAAGGTGCAGGAGAGACCAAGGACACCCCCATTGCCTTGTGTGCTATCCTTGCCAAGTGATCCAAGGAAGTGAGCCATGATCCTTGCTAGAGAGCAAGGTATAATCAGTTCATGGCAATGAAATAAAAGGTCAGTCAGGCATGGTCACTACTGACACCATTATCTCAGGAGCGCTACCCATCTGTAGTGGTGGCTCTCACAACTGATCTTCCCAACCCCCTTCCCAAGAATTGTAATAGCCATGAGAGGTGGGCATGGATGAGGGCTTGGCTAGCAGAGCTTCCTAGCCTTATTGTGGTGTCTTCCCACAGTGCATGCCCGATATATAAGGAAAGGAAAGGAAAGAACAGGCTGCACGTTGCAAAGAAGAAACAGAAGATGGGCTGCCCACAAAGGTACCAGGGACCGGAGACAATACTGGGTACCACGATGTGTGGGCACAGGGCAGTCGTGGGCTTCCTGGGGTGCTGGCGTTCAAAGGAGCATGTTGCACATTGACTTTAAATGCTAGATTTTCATAACAGCTACAAGTCCTGTGCACCTGCCTCAGGTCCTGATGTAGTTCGACCGTCTTCTATTCACCCCACCAGAGCTCGCATCTGCCCTGCCTGCAATCACCCACTCTTTAAGTGGTTGAAAACCACTTGTGTTCCTGAGAGATCTTCCAGGGTTCAAAGTATTTGGGAGAGAAAAAGCCCTGTTGGGTCTCCTCTCCTGTCTTCCTTGCCTGTGCTAGGTTTTTCCCAGTGCTTTCTCCTGGCCATATGTCAGTGAGAGGGGTTCCCAGCACTGTCCTAGCGAGACCGTTTCTCCTCCCGTGGAGTGGTCACGTTGTCTTTCTGATGGCTCAAATGGGTGTTGTGAACACTCACTCCCGAAGTATCCTTGGGAGTAAATTAAGCCCAGGAAGGCTAGCTTTTCCCTAGGTTTGGGCAATTCTTCCTTGCTGCTTCTAGCCACAATAAGGTCAGCCACTCAGCTGCTTTGGGGTTCAGCTCCTTGCCCCGGGAACCGGCAAGCGGTGGTGTCTGACTGAGCGCACTTTCTGCCTCCAGGATGTTGCTGGTGCTTCCTGGACCGGACCACAGAACAGCAGGCAGCCCGTCAGATGTGTTTGAAGTTGTCTGGCTTCTTGCACTCAATCCAGCGGGGACCTGAGTTTTCCTGGCCAGCTGGATACAACTGGTCTGCTGTGTGCTACACCCAGCAGAGGGGAAAAAATAACTTCCTCTGTGAAAGTAGCACCACGCCTTAAAGTCATTGCGTTATATTCTAATGAGAGCACTTGTGCGTGTCAGCAATCACTTGGCCTTGTGTTTCCCAACACTCCCGTGCTGGACAGCTGATAGCTCGTTCTTCAGTACCTCCCTGCTTGGAAGCAGACAGCCGCACACTGTACTTGGCTATGGGAATGCGCTCCCTTTAATCAGGTGCTTGTGAGCTGGTAATAGCAAAAACTCCCTTTGATGTTGCAGGGTTTGCCTTGACATAGATCTTCTCTAAAGCAATCCCTTTATTGCACCATCTGATTTATGCATAGCTTTGACAGCTGGGGTTGGGGTTTTTTTTGGTTTTGTTTTATTTCCCTTCAGGAGGCTGGTTGCAAGACCTGTAGATCTCCGTGCATTATATCACTTAGGTAACCTTGCTTTCAGGTCCAGCCCTACTCACTACTGTCTGGTACAACCTGTGATGGTGCTGGGGCCTGTTTTGAGTCAGGACTGCTTACAGTGAAAATAAACCATAGTGAAAGTGTCCAGGGTGCAAGTGTCAGACAAACACGCCCGTGTCATTAGTTGCACGTCGGAGGAGTGTGTTCCTAATGCCAGCTTGCTCGCTCAGGTATACAAGTGTAGTAGGCACCTTTATCCCAAACAAAAAGGGAGCAGCTCCCTTTTTTAAATAGCAAAGTCACCCACCAGCAGACAGGTGACAGGCAACATGCATGGCAGAGAGTTTGCAGTTCTCTGGCACCTTCCACAGGCAGGCCTCAATAAAATGGAGTCACTTATGCAGTAAGGATTGCATTAAGGCACAATGCTTAGGAGGTTGCCTGCTGGTAAAGTTTATCTTCTTCCAGTACAGGATTAAAACCATACTGCTCTATATAGAGCCTTTATACTGACATAGCAGTGCCCTAGCTGTGCCACATTTTTCATACTGCTGTAGATAAAACAGCACGACCTCAGGGACAGGTAGGGCACTTTGACACGTGCTCCGGGGGCTGGGGAGGAGGGGTGGCACTTCAGCGCGGCTCGGAGAGTTGCTCTAATTAAAGTGCCACGGCGTGTCCTGTATCAGCGTCCCTGCGCTTGAAAATGGCAGCGGGGTGCTTGAAGTAATGCTCGTTCAACGAGCTTTAGTTAAGGTGCCTTTGCTGCCATTTTCAAGCATGGGGGCGCTGACACACATGACGCAGGAGGCTGCTGGAGTGCGGCGATTGCCATGCTCCAGCAGACTCGATGGATTGGGTCAGAGCAGCCTCTGTGCTCATGTATAGGCGCCTGCCAGGTCAAACTTTAAACAGGGCATTAGACCCACTGACTATGATAATTGCTTATACTAAGGCCACTAAAATAGTAGTTTAGTTTACAGGGACCTTAAAGGGAGCATAAATGTAATATTGATTTTCAGTTCAAAACTCCTCGTGGATGTGGCCGTGGAAAGCGGCCTTAGTGCACATGAACATTTTTACAGGGAAAAAAAATATTTTTAATGAATTTTTTCTTGCTTTCTTTTTTTTTAATTCCCCACCTAAAGAACCCCCAACAGGATTAAAAAAAAACCCATGTATTTTATCAAAACTCAACTTTTCACTGGAAAGTTTTCAAAAGCTCAATTTGTTTAGTTCCATTATTGAATGGCAAAGCTGCAAAAATGAATGGGAAATCGAAGAAAACCAAAAGCGTTTCAAATTTCTAAGAGAACTATCCGCTTTTTCTAATCTAGTACTGTATATGCCATGCTCAGCCTGCTTCATGAATGTTTGGATATTTAATTGGCTCTTGTCTTGGCAGATAACACAGACGGAGAGTCTTGGGATATCAAAAAGATGCCAGTGCATCAACTAGGAATAGCTGTTTAGAAATTCAAGAGGCATCAAAGGG